AGGCAGCCAGTTGGTAGCCGTGACAATGGTCTCTCCTCTTTGCCTTGTTTTCACACGTTTTCTGCTGTCACAGAAACCTCGCTGATTGCTTCTTTGCCAAGACAGCATCCTATTAATCTTTTAAATAAGGGCCGCCGCCTAGCAGCATTGTTTGCTTGGAACCAAAGGGACCCTGTGAGACCAAACTGAAAACGGGGTATAAAAAAAACAACAGACAGACGAGGCTGAATCTGTCTCATTGTGGAAGGAAAGCCAAGCCTCCCTAAAACCAACACTATTAGAAATTTAATAGCTGCTGTGGAGATAGATGATGCGGAGGTCTTAATATTGCCGGCACTCTCCGGACCCACCTGATAGCTCTGTGGGCTCTGTTGTCCTCTGCCGCTCTCAGCTTTGCACTTCAGGTGCATGTTGTGCTTTTATCAGTATTGTGGCACTCTGAATAAAAGCCTCTGTGTTAAGGGCTGTTCTCTTTTTTTCCCCCTATGCTCTTATTGATCCTTTTCAGTGTGGTTAGAATGGGCTTTATTCTCTTCAGTTCGGTTCTCAAATAGCATAACAGCAGCATGTTCTGAAACGGCAAACCATTGACATTTTGCAATGTGACCTGTAGAAGGTAGTATAGCATTTTTTTTCTCCCTTTGCTGTGTTTGGCTGACAGATTGATAGGAGAATGCACAAATAAGGCTGAAATAATCCCTGCCGTGTTTTGTTCTTACAAGCTCCCCCACCTCACATAAAATTGACTCCCCCACGGTTTTGAAAGGCCTCCTTCTGCTCTCATTTTATCAACTAGGGTTTTTGTGTTTAATTACATGTGATTTGTGGTGGGAAGTCCTTTTGGAAGTCTCTGTATTTTCTTGTCAAGTGGTTGTTAAAGAAGAGTTGCTGCAAGGCTTCTGACACCCTCCACTTTGTAGTCAGTGCCTTCCTGTGGAAAGTAGCCCCATAAACCAAATCTCTCAGGGATGAGGAACTTGTGGCGTCTAGTCGCAGGAAGGTTTTTTACGGTATGAGAAAACTGGCATTATGAGATCACCGTACAATATAAAGTATTTAGTATCATATCTTTGTGTTTTTGTCTCCGGTCTGGCCATGGAAAGGCAGTAAGGCAAGACAAACTAAATGACTAATTGACTTCCAGGTCAGAGTCACTTGATAGYGATGATGCTGGTCAATGGAAATGGATATACTTTCCCCCCTGAAGCAAGCTACGACTGCTTTGTGATCATCTGTGTGGTCATGGTCCGATGCTTGTAAGCACACATGAGCGACTGAGCATGTAGCGAACTGTTTACTCTGTGTAGCACAGAGTTGTTTGTCCAAAAGTGCACACACAAAAATTTCAATTAAAATCAGAACCATCTGATATCACTGTTGTGATGTAGGTTTTCATCTTTGTTTTGTTTTTCTGTTCATGGGAAATATTGAGCAGTGAATAATTGTTGAAGCAGAAGCTGGTAATTATTTGCTTTAAAAGCTCAAATTCAATTTTAGCTTTTGTATTTTGTGGAAAAAAAACATCACAGATGTAAAGGTTCTCTTTCTTTCTTTCTCTTTCTTTCTTTCTTTCTTTCTTTCTTTCTTTCTTTCTTTCTTTCTTTCTTTCTTTCTTTCTTTCTTTCTTTCTTTC